TACCAAACATGTAGCAAGGCAATCAATATTTCGAGTTTGGCAAGAGAATGGAATATCACTTTTCGACCGCGATGTAATATTATAATATGCATATTAACGCACCGGCTTGCGAATTTCAAAGCAAAAAGCAGAGCTTTTATCGGGTGTAACAAAATAATAAACGGTGGAAAGCAAGGCTATACTATTCGTCATAATAAAATGATTTCAACAAATTTCGATAATTGAATATATTACGAGATATAGTCTTTTGAGCGAGAAACCTTTATAGATTCCTATGTAAAGTGAGGTAAAATGTTGTAATATTCAATCGCAAAAAGCAGAGCGAGTATGCAAAGAAATGAGAACTATTTTTCTTAATGTGTTACTATACGACCGCTTCTTCTGGAACCAATTTCAACAAATATTCAAAGATTTATATATAGCATGCTATATTGAAAATACTCCGCTCGCCTGATAATAAACATAGGGCATTGCGCAGCCATTGTTGCGTGGGTGCTCGTGGTAACGTGAAACATGAGAAATGAAAATGTCCGTGATTTCTGGCCATGATATATAGTCAAAATCGATTTTGACTATATATTGTATACGCCTCTGCCTGAGCAGGATCTTTTATATTGGGATCATTTATGACTATATATTGATCGATTTTGGGATCATTGGGATCATTTATGACTATATATATATATATATATATATATATATATATATATATATATATATATATATATATATATATATATATATATATATATATATATATATAGTTCTGTTTGTTGACGCTACTCGCTAATGGTAAAAAAGGGAAAAAGTTCTTATGGGAAAAAAGTTGTTATTTTGAACTGTTAGCAAAAGTTCTCATCAAAATGCGTAAGTATGGTTAGCTAATCCATAATGCGCGGTTGCCAAGCCTAGCCACGCTATGTCCGTCGCGGACTAAAAATGAGGTTTGTATATTACGCATTAATTTCCGTTTATTTTTGCGCAAAACAATCTTGTATACTTTTTTCTGCAATACGTTTTTAACGCGACGTTTGCGAGTAAGCAATATATATAGCAGTTGTTTTGGGGTGCGTAGTACGGGTCAGGTTCTACCCACGTTAATTAAGAAGACTGGACAGTAACTTTACAGTTACCTTTACTCTGTCTTGGCTTGAAAGAAGAAGCTATTAAAAGTTAACGTTTGGCGCGTAAGTACATATATAATAACTTGTATTCGCGATATTAATAGTTGCGCGAAATGTTTCACATAAAAGTTGCCTTAGAATGATTTTCTCCATTTCATGCATGGTTAATCCAAGTTGTTTTGTTTTGTATTTATTCATTTATTTATTCATGTTATTTATTTATTAGTTGTTTTATTTTTGTATTTATTCATTTATTCTTGTATTTAGAAATTTTGAAATCTAGGACCTCGGAAATGCGATTTCCTGCGTTCTGAGCGAACTCTTTTGTTGCAATTCCTATATCAGAGTCACAAAAATTTTGCTGCATTTTTGGAAAAACACGTAAAAAAAACACGTAAAAAACTTGAACCTATATCGCAAAAAAAACATAATTTCTCGACATTATGTTGTTTATGAACCACCTTCCCCTATTAATTTCCAATGTTCCATGAGTAAAATCTTCTAGCATTAGAATTTAAAGTAAAATAACATATGGTGCATAAAGATTAAAGGTATTTTGTGCTTTACTGGGTAAATATATGCAACTCTGTCTTATGCTGCTAATCTTAGCTGCTTTCAGATGAACTGCATGGTGAATAGCCCACACTTTGAATACTATGAATATTGCCTTGTGGCGAGGAAACCAGCAAACTAACACACAACAAACACTGGGTTTAAAATTATATAAATAAATAACTAGGTACACACACGTTTTAAATCAATAGAGACTGTGTGTAAATTAATTTAATGAAGCTATCTTAATTGGAAATTGTTTGTTAAATAAACCAATACCAAACTGTACAATGATAAACATGACATAATTTAATCATATGTCTTCTATCTGTCCCCTTTTGCCTGCTTTCAACTAATATTAATACAGTACTCCTTTAAGAAAGGTTGCACAGTAGTATTGATGAATATTTAATTTTCCCTATATTATCTTGTCAAATATATCCATACACTTATCAATGGTAATCGTAATCCTCAGGGTGGCATGCTGGCTATCCAAAACATAATACTGGGATAATTAGCATTACAAATATATAATTTAATTAAATATATCTTCCAAACTATCCCACTTTTGTGAGCAAATTTCATAATTATAACCTGTATACACCAGTTACAGTATATACAGTATTTATACCGTCCATCATTTTATCATCGATTCTAAGATTAAATCTGTCAGGAGAATGTCATATGATATATACAGCTTATATCAAATTATATTTGCACAGACAAAGCATATAAACACTCAACTATGGTAGGCGAGCAAACCCAGGTAATCATCTTTGTTTGCAAAATATCCAGCTAGTGTATAGTAATTGCCCAATAACTCAGGGAATGCAAAGAAAGACCCCGTCACAAGGCATGCCAGCTCATTTCCATATAAAATGAAAATGAAATAGGAGATACCACTGGAAGTTGCAACTTGAAACAATTACCTTTCATGTAAACTCCCCCTTAGTCTTCTAACCAATGTTGCATTAATTACTATTAGAAATCTCATTAACATGCAATTATGCTCTGTAATTACATACAGAGACTGATGCAAGTCTTGATCCATTCAGAGTTACTTTCCACCCACACTATAGTTTTATTTTTGGTATCCAATCAAAATGTGCCAGAAGAAATGTCAATTTCACATAATAACAACAAGCTAAACATAGTTACAATCATTAAATATATCATTATTTAATTATAGCATTAACCAATTATCAAAACAATACATTAAATATGGCATGAATACTCATGCCAGAAATAGCCAATCAGAGTTACAACAATAAAGGCAGTTGTAGGACACAAACATAATAACATGTGTATCAGGTCTTCATTTTTATTTGCCCGCCAGCTGTGAGAAAAATAAAGGTCTGGGCACAGGATATAATCCCATGTAAACAGAGATGAAATTTGCCTCAGTAGAGCAAGCTGTCAAGTTTGTATTGGGGCTAGTTTGGCTCCAGACAAGCAAACCTCTGTAAAATGTCAAACTCTACCCCCCCCCTACCCCCGCCCCCCAACCACTAACATCTTTCTGGGCTTTCTGGAATATAGAGCAACAACAGTAATAGACACAAACTGTAATTATTTTGTTATTACATACAAATCTATATTAATTGTGCAGGACCCCATTTTCCACTTTACACACTTCTTGAACTGAACAATTTAGTAATTTACTACCATTTGTAAAAATATAGAGATATTTAACTTACTTAATTAGAGCCCTCAGTTCGATCGAGTTTCACATCGTGGGCATATAAGATCCCTTCCATTCTTCCACTTGGTAGTAATTGGTTCGACTGTAAATTATATGTTCTCCGAGGGATTTCTTTCGAGGGATTTCTCTTCGCATTATCAAATATCCTTGCCGCCATGTCTTGAATCGAATGCCTCGTTAGGTCACAGTAGATTTGATTTTGCAATTTGCATCAGTGCACTGATGCGAGCGCCCGCAATCTGCATGCGATGCATCGCTCAGCGGCCAAATCTAACGTGACGTAGGGCTCTAAAACAATAGATTTGATGATGTCACGTTAGATTTCACGCGGAAAAGGACTCGGGACCGATGCATTCACTGATGCAAAATGGATGCCAATCGAATCTAACGTGACGTAGTGATGCATTTTGCTTCAACTGTGACGTCAAGGATGCAGTAAAAAAATAACATATTTTGTCGCGAAAATATTGACGCTTAAGTGTCGCAAAACAACAGAAAGTACACATTTGCGATCGCAATTTGCAACGTCGTATGTTGGACTTATTTTGACAATTTCGACTGTTATTGAGACTATTTAAATTGGATTTCATCCTAAATAGTGTATTCCTGACATGGAGTCAAGTTTAAGCAAATATTTGCGGTTTGATAGCTGGAGAGATTCAAAGATATTCTATTACTGAGTGCTTGACCAAGTATTGACGACAGCATAATATGTCTATATATTATTTCAAGCAACATGATTTCTCAATTTTGACCGATGCATTCGCATCGTTGGCATCGGCATATATATATATATATATATATATATATATATATATATATATATATATATATATATATATATATATATATATATATATATATATATATATATATATATATATTATTGAAAGTAATAAAGTTTCCATTATTATTATTATGATAAAATATCAGTCATATATCAGTCAAAAAAATATCAAATATGAAATATCAGTCATATATCGATCAAATATCAGTCATATGCTTTAAGCGATGTCCTTAGCTAAGAACTTATTTAACTGAACTAATACGCGCTGTCTGGCTTTCAGGATCTATCCCGAGTGAATGGAAAAGAGCTTGCACTATACTTATTCATAAGAAAGGCAACACGAGTATTCCCTCAAATTTCCGACCGATCACACTCGAATCTATACCGCTTAAAGTATTTACATCATGTCTGCGTGACGCAATTTACTCCGTTCTCACCGCCAATAACTTTATAGAACATAACATAAAAAAAGACTTCACCCCAAATCTGTCTGGTACTGTGGAACATACTGGGCAAATGGCTAATATAATAAACAAAGCTGGTACAAAACAACGTTCACTTGTCATCACACTACTTGATCTCAAAAACGCTTTTGGAGAAGTTCATCACAACTTCATCCAATCTGTCCTTGGCTATCATCACATCCCTAATCACATGAATAATTTAATAAAAAGCTTATAGACTAATTTTAAAAATTCCGTAATTACGTCCGTGTTCCGTACCCATTTTATACTTGTTGGCCGTGGTGTATTGCAAGGTGATTGTCTTAGTCCTCTACCATTTAATATGTGTTTCAACACATATATTCAGCATATCAAAGCTGAAAAGTACCGTCAGTTCGGTTTCTCCCTCCAACTTCTTAATCCAATCCACTGGTTTCAGTTTGCCGATGATGTTGCGGTTATTACTGGTCAAGAGTCAGAAGATCAACATCTCCGTAATCGATTCTCTATCTGGTGTCAATGGTCCAACATGGTTGTTAGAGTTGATAAATGTAGCACATTTGGCATCAAAAAAGTTTTATCAAAATCTAAACCAGTACCTGCCGAAGCTTTTGATCAATAAGGATCTCATACCAACGATTAAGACTGGAGAATCATTTGAGTATTTGGGACGACATTTCGACTTTAACGTGACTAATGAAAAACATATATCTAAAGTGATTTCCCTCATTTATGAACTAATGTCCGAAATAGATCTTAAACCTCTTCACCCATAAAAACAAAATTTTACTTTACAGTCGTTATGTTCTGTCGAAACTATCCTGGCATTTTACTGTTGCTACGATATCTAAAACTTGGGTAGTCGAAAATATCGATTCTTCGGTGAACAAGTACATCCGAAAATGGCTGGAAATACCTATATCTGGAACACTAAGTAACGTTTTTCTAACCCGTTATAAGTTTGGTCTAAATATCCTCCCTACATCAGTCAAATTCATTCAGTGTCAAACAGTTCTACGCTATGCCCTAAAAACATCTCCAAACGATTCAATAAACGAACTGTGGAAGTCAACTAATAATCATACTAACGTTCAATACGATAGCTACAACTCAACTAAAGTCGTTTTAAAAACTTTCCATTCTCTACAAGAAAATAAACTTAGGAACCGTTTGAAATGTCCAGGTTCCTTTTTCGAAAATGTTTCTAAATTCTCGCTATTACAACTTAACGCAATCTGGTCGGTATCGCAATCAAAGCTACCAAAAAACATTTTCAACTTTACAATTCGTTATATAAATAATACTGTTCCTACCCGAAAGAACCTCAGTAGATTGGGAATTTCATCAAGTTCTGACTGCTCGTTCTGCTTACACCCTGAATCACTTCTACACGTTGTTGCCGGTTGTCAATATTACTTGGAACGATTTACTTGGAGACACGATTGCATACTAAACTTTCTTGCAAAAACTTTTCAAAGTTTAAACGAATGCAAATTACATGTTGATCTTCCTGGATTTGAAAGCCCCTCGATTATTACGGGAGATGAATATCGTCCTGATTTACTTGTCTCCACTTCAGATAAACATCTCTACGTCGTTGAACTTACCGTAGGCTTTGAATCAAACCTCACAAACAATGTTAACCGCAAGAAAGCTAAATATAAAAACCTAATTAGAGAACTGGATCAAAACTTTACATCTGTCAAATTTATAAATCTTTCTGTCAGTTCGCTAGGGGTGTTTGACAAAGAATGTCATACATTCGTAAAAATGCTAAATGAGTTAGGACTGGATAATCAACACCAACAATATTGTATCAGAAAAATTATATCTATTGCCATCCGATCAACGTACTACATATTTTGCTGTAGAAATAAAGAATGGACAAATCCCGAACTAATGAACATTTGAAGTAACTATTTCTGTAAATAAGTAGTAATTTTTGTATATAAAATTATAACCATGCACGTATAAGTGATTCAAGTAGTCAATTGTAGGTTACCTCAAGAAGTGAGATTTACAATTGTATATATCTATAAATGTTCTATTAATAAAGTTTTCATTATTATTATTATTATTATTATTATTATTATTATTATTATTATTATTATTATTATTATGCAGTGATCAGCGTCGGGGGAGGTCATGCTTTCGGCGCTCCTGCTATATTTTTAAAAGCTTTCTTGTTTAACTGCACTTTCGATAGTTTTGAGCTTTTACAAATTCAGTACGAAGATGAAAGGCTTCTACTTGGCAAATATCATGTTGTTCTGGTTGATTATGGGGCAACACTGGACTATTAAAGCGACAATCTGTGAATATTGTGGCAAAGATTTTAAATCTTTGGGGAGACACATTTGGCGATGCAAATCTCGCGTTGGTCATCCGTCTCATGCTGGAAATGAAAGGCAAAGTAATAACGAACGTTCGTCGAATACAGAAAGGACTGACCACCAAGTCAATATCAATGCTGACGGTGAGCTGGTGGGTGAGTGTGCTAACTTTAGATGCTATTGTGGCCGTATGTTTTTAAGCTATCGCTCGTTGACTTTGCATCGTCGATCATTCTATATAGGGAATAGTAGCG